AATTAAAATTTACATAGCGACTGGTTTTGAAGTATGCGGCATCAGCTTGAACACATTTCTGTCATCTCTCAGGCAACAAATTAATACCGCTTTGAGTAGGGCTTTCTGGGCTTTCTCTTCTCTCTGATTAAGAGAAAACAAATGAAAACACGATCTCATTTGGTGGAAGGAACTATTCATAGGAGTGCTAGTTACATTCGATGGTTGAGACTTGTGGCTACATCTCCACGTCGTCGATTTTCCAAACACCCCTCTATGACACTGTAGCATCCAGATGAAAAATAAAGTTTAACACTCGCTTTTTGCCTTCATTTCTACCATGCCCTATCATTCGCTGCAATCTGAAAAGCACATAAGTATGTAGAGAAATTTTGTGGTATCTCGGTCAGTCGTTTGATCTTAAGTTCCTATTAAAGCGAAGGAGAAACGCCCACTTATGCAACAAAATATCGGTCGTCCCGCCTCACCCCGCCCATTGCCACGTCTCTGCTACGGCCCTCGCCTTTAGCTTGTAAGTAACGTCACTTAAAATTCAAATCTTGATCATATTTTCCCTACCAAGCAGTATTTCCATAAAATAAGCGCATTGATAGAATCAGAAAACATCACGATATCAGATGATTACTAATAGTATGAACAAAGAACTCTGTTTGGCGAGGTTCAAGCATAAATCAAAAGAGCAGAAGAGATTAAAAGATCAAAAAGCTTTTTGAAAAGTAAACAGATTTCTAGCTCTTTGAAGACTGTGCTATAGTTTAATCAATTGCTAACCACGCACCCAAGAGAGTGCCTGGTTGCGCCCCCCTTGTCCGCTCCCACCAATCGCGTCTATCCTTTGTGTTTTCACTATAATATGCTCGAATCTTCGGCTCACAAAATCACACCATACCTTACTTGATAATACCTTAGCACAAGCGATCAATCTACATGATTTGTTTATCACATTTTATTCAACTACCTGCAATCTATAACTATAGTTTCCAGCAATCTGCAACTCATGAGAACAAATTACATTTACATATAACATAGGAAAGCAAACACAATATTAAATTTAAACTAGTACGATAACACATTAATAGTAGCATGAAATATAATAATAGCATTGATTGAAATACAAATACAATGAATGCTTATGAAATACCTGTTTCTTATTTACAAACAGCAGCTACGTAACATCGCTGGTGTTACACAGATGCGCGAGATCATTACACTTTGAGCAGCAAGGCGGTTTACATTTGACACACCCAGTGTTTGTTTTTAGCATGATTCTGAGCATAAAAGGAGCCCTTTTCAGCCGACATCCTTTCATAGCACCCACATCGGCGACGGTTTTCGTGTGAAACCTTTTCGAGAACGCCGCTAGTCGTCGTTGAAGGGGAATTGTCTACTAAATAAATGACATAAACCGCCTCCCTAAAATAAACTCATCGAATGTGATTTGCTCTTTGCTGACGCAGTCGGAAAGGCGCGATGATACTCAGATGTTTTAAAAAGAGAGAGATGCAAATGCTTTCGTCAGCATACGGCTCCGACTTAAATTCGGGCATGAAGATGTTTAGAGTTGTCGAAAACTACAACAAGAATAAGGGGGTTGTGGACCTCTTGCACCAGATGGCTGCCTACTCTTCATTCTTTAGATGAAGTAAAAATGGTACGTGCATTCTGCTACTTCTTATCATCATAGCCTGTAATTCCCTTCTTCAGGTACGTGCTATCCTCTTTCATTTCGTCTATAACATACTGATGCTGAACGCTCATAGAACTTACTGCGTCAGCAAAGAACAAATCACATTCGATGAGCTTAAGGGGGCGGTTTATGTCATTTATCTAAAAGATGATTCCCTTTAACGACGACTAGCGGCGTTCTCGAAAAGGTTTCATGCAAAAACCGTCGCCGATATGAGTGCAATAAAAAGATGCCGGCTGAAAAAAGTCTCCTTTTATGCTTAAAATCATGCTAAGAAACAAATATTACATGTGCTAAATGTAAACCGCCTAACTGCTCAAAGTGTTATCATCCCGCACATCTGTGTAACTCCAGCGATGTCGCGTAGTTGCTGTTTATAATTAAGAAACATATATCACATAGGAATTCATCGTATTTGTAATTCAATGAATGTACTATCATACTATTTGAAACTTAATATTGTGTTTACTTTCCTATGTTATACGTAAATAAAAGATGTTCTCATGAGTTGCGGATTGTTGGAAACTGTTGTTATAAATTGCAGAGAGTTGAATAAAGTGTGACGAACAAATTATGTAGAATGATCGCTTGTATTACGGTAATATCAAATGAGGTATGGTGTAATTTGTAGAGTTGAAGATTTAAGCATATGATAGTGAAAACACAAAAATAGACGTGATTGATGGGAGCGGGCGAGGGGGGCGCAACCAGACACGCTCCTGGGTGTGTGGTAGGCAAAAGGTTAAGTACTAGCACTCTAAGGAATGAGCTCTATTTATAGAATTATAGGCGAGATAAGGGAGAAAACACGTGACATCATGAAACGTGGTTTTATTTTGAATTTTACAGCGCTGTAAAAGGGTGCTTTGAAAAGCGGGCGAAGTGGGAGTGCAGCCTCTAGTTTTAGCTTTCGAATGGTTACTAGCACTCCAAAGAAAACTTTTTCTTCAGCAAATGAGATCGATTTTTCATTCGTTCTCTCCTAGTCAGGAAAAACCGAGTTTTCTTTTGCTACCAATTTTGACCATACTTGTCTCATGAAGGCCGCTCGGCAAAGCTTTTATGGCATTTCCTGCTTCACGAGTACGGTAGAGACATGATGCACAAACAGTTTTCGAGAACATTAACTGTGCAAAGGCTTAAGGATTTGTGTCCAGGATTGATGTGTTGCCTGAGAAATGGCGGAATTATGTTTAGGCTGATGGTCCATACATGGAATAGTGCTGTTAGCAATTTTGATCAATTCTACTTAGTAGATTGGGAAGCAGTGCTTTGATGTCAAAACTTCTAGAACGGCAATATCCATATATTTTTTTCACTTATTTACACCATTCATAGTCACAATTTTTATTGCACGGATACCAGTAATTCTAGCATTCGACTCGTTTTTTGTCTTTTTGAATGGCGTAAAATACTGGTTAAGCATGTCTTCTTGCAATCTCGACGATAGCCTGGCTGTGACGAGACATATGGTGTTCCGTCTGACGATGGTTCGATTTCGTCCTCAAGGCTTGCCAAGCCTTCTATAATATCGGGCTTCGCAAATTGTTACCACTTGTCTGTGAGGATAGCAGCACTGGCTTCGTACATCGGCTGGCTACCACATGTCATTGTAGTGGCCAGATATGCACTCATCCACTTTTAAAGATGTGTGATGAAGTGGAATGCATGGCGCATCCCTCAAGAATTGATCAGCGCTAAAAGCTCTACCTTTCTCTTACTCAAAGACTATGAAGGGAAACGCGGTTGACATTAAGCATTCACTTGAAACGCTCCAGGTATCAATTGATCAGACTTTATCAGAACGGTTAATGTAAATTTGTCAACTTAAGGAATTGGTCGAAACCAGCGTACCCGCAGTGAGGGATCGCCGGCCGATTATTTTAAACATCAGAGGTATTTATAGGTTGCCTCCAGCAATAAGCTTTTTGTGGTATCGCAATCTGAACATAGTAAAATGAAATGGCTTCAATCCTCTGATTTCGAAAGATTCCCCAGCTCCGTGGAATCGTTTAAGATAATCACGGAAAGGCCGTTACATTCTCAGTGCCTTCCTAGGAAGTTTATATCTCAATTACAAAGATGACGATCTTTACCAAAAATGAACTTACATCTGCTCTTCTGTAGAGGATTTGATTGCACGTAATAGGAGAATAAGCTACAACATCTTCAAACTGATCAAGAAGAAAAATGTCACGTCTAATGTTATACAGAGAAAGAACACATAGCTTTTCAAAACAAATCGCAGTGCTTCGGTATGAAAAAAGGTTAGATGGCAGGCTATTTCATGCACTAGCGCCATATTTCAAAATTTTCGGCTCGCTCCATGTTTACTAGTCCTTTGACCAGCTTCTACTTCTGCGACAGTTCGCAAAAAATCATCTGATAACTGAACTAGTGCTGAAATGTTGTTAAATCCGCTCGTTAGGAAAACTTAGAAAGTAATTCTTTTTGTGGCAATTTTATGGATCATAATTGATCCTATTTCGATTTGTGTGGTATTAGCTATTTTCCACTTTTATCTGTTTCCTATCTAGCTTTTTTATCATGCTCAGAGTTTTAGATCGTTTTATATATTCGTCGAAGTAATTTGGCGCTCTGGCGAAGAAATCGAGGAGTACTTCAAATTTCGCACAATTATCAGGTAATGCAGAATAAGACTGTACAATTCCGAACATAAAGAATTACATGCACACCCATGCACATGCCTAAAATCAGAATTGTCCTTCTCAGATTAGAGAAAATGCAGAGACGTCACTTTGGGTGTTTCGATTCATGACTTTATCATCGCCTCAGGTTCTCATCGGATGGACTTCGCTCATGGTTCACTTTTATTTCAAGTGAGTTTCGTTCACTCGATAAGAATGTAGCCACTCATGATGTTTGTCTAATTTTGTCAGTCGCAAGAAAGGAGCGCCACTATACTTAAAACCGTATAATTTTTTCATAAACAGAGTTTTTCGGATGTTCATCATCTGCCAAGTGATATTTGAGTGTTTCATGAGTATCTTCTGTTATCGGGCCGGCACATTTGAAGAGGTCTCCTTTACTGTACAATAACTTTGCATCAGACTATTGATAAATATTCGAAAGCTCAAATTTTGGAAAATTCAACGTTGCTCTTGTTTTTTAGACAGATTTTCTTAAAGCTCTGTAGCAGCAGAAATAAAATCTGTTTCACACACGTCGGTTATCACGTTTATATCTTGCTGAACAAAGTTCTCTCCTAACATTGAATAGTGTATATTCGTTAACTTGAATAATGCGCCTGTCGCATATATGCTGACGAGTACTGAGTGGTGGGCGGAAATACCGCCGCATGCGGAATTCGAACTCTCGTTCTATCCATATCGGGGACGCGTGCTACTACCACTACACCACTGGGGCACATTTGCCCAACCACTCATTCTTTAACTTCTCTTTGTTAGCTATCAGCCACCAACCTTTAACAGGTTTAATCGCATAAGCAATTCCGCTTTATAAACCCAGTTGAGCAGACAGCACTGTTAGATGTAATGTTAGGCTGGAAAGGAAATATCCGCCGTTTGGATGGGAACGTCGTTTTTTCGCATGAATCGTCTGTGATTTTCATATCATTTGAAAGGTCTACTTCTTGTGCATCTACTGATATATAATTTGCCCATATCTGCTGCGGAATGGAATTGTTCAGGGAACAAACGTTGGACTTCGAAAGGTCAAACAATGCCATTCCTACCGCGTCAAAATCAATTTGGCAAAAAGGTCACGATTTGCATTTGGTGGATTTCGAAACAATTTTGCACTTTTAACTTGCTCCGAATTGCAAATCTATCAACGCCGATCCTTACTGCGAGCAGCTAAACCGAGTTTACGATAACTTGGCCGAGAAATACTCAGAACTTGTTCGTAGAAAGCGCGCTTTGTTTCAGCAAGACAGCGCTAAACCACACACAGGCAAAAAGACCAAGGCAAACTTGAGGAACTGAACAGAGTTGAGATTCTACCGCATCCACCCTATAGTCCGCGCGTTGTTCCATCTGATTACGGCCCTATCCGATCAATGCAACACTTCTCGGAAGGTCGCCGATTTCAAACTTTTGGTGAAGTTGAAGAAGCATATCAAGAGTTCTCTGGTTCAAAGCCGAAAGAGTGTACTTCCAATCCCAAATCTGGTGGACCGATGGGAAGAAGTGGTGGATAATGATGGCCTGCATTCTGAAGAATAGTTGCCGTTTGTTGTCGGAATATATGCATAAATTTAAAATGCTTCATCAAACGATGGAAGCTTCCTTTCCAACCCAGTACTTCAAAATTCTAATTTTTTACTGCTTTTTTTGGCAGTGTTGTGATATTACATATATACCTAGAAAAAAGCAGTAAAAATTCTAGAATTTCGCAGTGATGCATTTGTTTTCTAGATGGCTTTCTTACAGCTTGGTAATAGGAGAAATGAAGATATGTTTCAGACGCGTCTTCGCACAGATTTTTGTTATTTATTTGAATTTTTTTTCTTCGTTCTTAAAAAATGTTCATGCTTTCTGTATTGAATTGTGGGAAAAAACTATCTATCGATTTGTGAGCCAAGGCTTCCACGTTCGCCATACATTTCCATAAACCAGCCACTATACCTAGAACTACGCAGCCCAAACCTGTGAGCAAAGAGCTTACGAACTCCTGGAGGAAATCTTGATGTATCAGGCTCACATGTCTTACGTGCAATATTTTTCGAAGGGGAGGAAACTACTAAGATCAATAACAAAATCGCATTCCACATGTGAATCGAGCTTGCGTGATTTATCGATCACGTATAGACCCATAATTACCCACATACTCGGGCCGACAAGCAATGCGCAAAATGTTTGAAGTTCAATCTTATTTCCTCTGCACAGTGAGGTGAAATGGCCTTCTGGGAAAATAAGCATACCTATGGAATGGTAGAAATTTACGTTATAAAATAGCAAGAGTTTGAGTAAAGAGCTCAGTCCTGCGCTAACTACGCATGTATGATATGCAAATCCATTTTCTTTGTTACATCATTCAAAAAAGCCTTCCAAAAATTAAACTTTTTTTGAAATTTACGAAATCTAGGCTGTCGACTGCATAATCATAACCTGAAGAAAAAGCTTTGTTTTGCGAGATATGAGCGTTGAACATTATTTTTATCCTAACGCTACAGCGCTGTAAGGAAGAATTTCCAAAAAGTTCACTCTCAATTTTTAACATTTCAGCTCTCGAGTGATTGCTAAATCTAGTAATAACTTGCCCAGCAAAAATTTTTCTCCAAAAGCGCCTATCCGATAACAGAAAAGTACCATATCATGCCGCTTACACAGCTATTCAAACAGCAACGACATAAGTGAAATGCTTCCAGAGAGATAAAGGTTCCGATACTAGAAAAGTTTTTGGTTTTATATTTGATGCATGCATTGCAATGCTTTCTACTACGATATTATTTCTTGTATATCGCTATAACAATAAGATTAATACAGCATTCAAGCGATGGTTCAACAAATGTGAGTCACTTCAAACAGTATATTCACCTTCCTTTATTTTTTTCTGTTTTCTTACTGCTTTTATTGTTCCTACAACTTTTCCAAATATATAAATATATATGTATCTATGTTTAATTATTGATTTTTTGCTTACCAATTTATATTTCTTCATACTCACTTACCTTGATTCTTAAACTCTCGCTTTCACGACCACAGCACCTTTTGCATTCATTTCGTCACGATTGTCGTTCATGGCGATTTTTATTTCAATTTGACGGCAGATACGAGTTTCACTCCGCGACCTATTAAGCATCGGTGTCGCAAGTAGAGCTGATTGATTTTAATTTTTTTCAATGTGTGGGTGGTTTTGGGGACACCCGCCGGTTTCCCACTGAAGTTTGCTCCGCAGTTCTTTTCGTCCATCTGTTCTACAGAATAGATTGTTCAGTGAAAACCACAAATCAATGCACAATCATTATCATCAATATCCGTCCTCTGTATAAAGTCATCGCCTAGTAAAGTTCAACATTTGAGAGATGCCCACCGAAAAGGATTCGACTTTACCGACAGCGAAGGTAAAAACCACAACGAGAACAAACAACTATGAGCATTCGACTCGAATCATCAACTATGATTAGGACGAATACGCCAAAATGTTGAAGGATAGAGATGAAACTCTCAATGTTATTCAATCCCTAAAATGCTCAATTCATTCGGCTTACATCGTTGACTTCGTATGAATTTATTCAGTGCATATCTGGCCTTTGCAATCACTCGCAGTAGCCTACTGATGTATCATATCAGTACTGCTTATCCTTTCAAACAAAACTGATACCAGTCTTTCAACTTCGAAAAGATGGGAAGCCTGGTAAACCACGGGCGTGGGTCAGACCGTAGATCACATGCACGGCCCCAAACACCTCTGACTACTGCGCCACGTACGTCATTGTCGAAAAGCTAATTAGATAAATTTTCTCACCATATTTCTTCACACTTCTCTCCATGTTCAACAAACCCTGCAGGCGCACGTGAGCAGGGGTCTGTGTGACCCGGAGAACCAAGCCTTTCGATGATGACCCTCACACTATGGATTTATCATAAATTTTCTATTCAACAAATTTTCCAGCCCAATCTTTTCCCGTTTCTTTGAGCTATATTAGCATTATGCACCTTTCACTAATTGTTCTTGAAAAGACGTCAATGTTATCACCAAAACGGACAATTCTATAGAAATTTTATATCAAAACGTATATCTTTCTTTTCTTAATCAGCCGACTTCATTATCCAGTGATGTGCGGCAGCAAACAGTTTTGAAGATATGGTGGCGCCTTGTCGGAATCCTAATCCTATGGGTTTAACAAGAAAACGATGAAAAAGATGCACTCTCATGATAAAATTGCGACATCTGTTAGAGTTTCTATATAGTGCAGGACCAATCTTTAGTCGACAAACGTTGATAACATTGCTTTCGTCCCGTCGGTTTCTATTTTCTCGTAGATCATGCAGATTACAACGAGGGAGGATGCCTCTTCCAAAAGCTTTAGTGACCAGTGATTCGGTTAGATGTTGTTGTTCAAGCAGAATTTCTAATGGAATCCTCCTTGTTCATCTGATTATGCTGATCCAAAATTTTCGCTTTGCGCAGGATAATTTTTTTGAATAGCTTGTAGAGTACATTCAACAGGAATATTGGGTGATAGCTACGATGACCGTCTGTCATACTTTTTGGGTAGGATGACTGTACCCAGAGTCTTCTAATAGCTCGGATATTTTTTCTTTCTGGAAGTATGATATCATATGTCTTACGTGAACTTCATATAGATTGTGACACAGCTCGAAGCAAATTGGCAGTGGAATTATCAGGTCTTTAAGCTGTATCTCGCTTGACTTTGGATCGCAAATTGAGCTTCAGAACTTAAAATGTCGAGATAACGGTTATGATGGAGTAGAGATTGGTAGAGAACTCTTCCTTTATTAATTTTATACATGCTACATATATATTTACAACTCTATACAAACGTGAACAATCCCACCTTTATTCTAATAACACCTTGAGGATCATGTGGGGCGTTTCGTCCGCACCGCACGACATCGAATCTTCTCAGTTCCTATAGAGGCGGTGACGCGCCCCGCGAAAAAAGCTGCGAATCTCGTAGGAAGACAGACTTTAAACAGCATGATGGATGCGAGGGATAAACCCATCTGGTTTTAAGGGAGCGTTTTCATCATGAAGGGATGGAATTTCATTGAAAAAATTTCTACAGAGATATTCTTAACAAGAAGAACAGCCACATCTTCCAAATTTCATCTATATTTCTGATGTTTCAACGACAAGACTACATTGCTAAACGATACATAATGAAAATGACTATAATAATGATAATGATTATTCTTTCGATAATGCTAATGATTACGAAAGTGATAATAATTGTCACTCTTTTGAGCTGTTTGTGGAATCTGATTAGGGCACTTAGTGAATTCCATTCAATGCATAGACATTGCAGTGACCAACAGTCGAAATTGTAGCTGGTAAAATGAATCATATTTGCACTGGATATTGACTGTTACCATTATTGATAGTGATAATGATAATGGTAGTGGGAGTGATAATGATAATTATAGTGATAACGACAGTGAAAGTGGCAATGATGGTAGTGATAGTGATACTAGTAGTATTGAGTGGAAGTGATAATGGCAACAGTGATAATGATGGTAGCGATAATAATTATAGTGATGGTGGTAGTGATGGCAATGATAATGATGATGGTGATAATGATAGTGGTGAAAATAATGGTAACGATAATGGTGATAGTGCTAATGATAATGGTTATATGGGTGTTAGTGATAATGATGATAAAGATAGTGATAGTGGTGGTGACAGTGATGGTGATAGTGATAGTAGTAACGGTAATGACT